TACATCAATCAACGTCTACTGCAGTTAAATCAGTTCTGTCCACGTAATTTGTCAAAATCTGTTTTTGTTGAGAGAGAATTAGCAAATGTGTTTATAAGTACTTACAGTATGTCACTATTAAGAGAGAGAGAGAGAGAGAAATAGTGAGAAATGGTGAAGAGAATGAGCAAAAAAGTGTGTTTGCTGATGGACTCTAGTAGCAGTCAGAGACATTCCAGATGAGATAACTGAGATTACTGAACATTGATTATTGAACAAGCATACTTGTGCATATGTATATGTATGTGTGTGTGTGTGTGTGTGTAAGTGTGTGTGGGAATGCGTGTGCTTGCTCTAATTCCGTCTAATTGCATGATATGGTAAAATGCCACAAATTCTCACTGAATCAGATGTAATTGTTATATTTTGTTAATGGAAGACGTTACAGTGGTTATTAAAGTCTTTAAGATGACATATACAGTACCATGAGGTCCTGAATAAAGATGAATCAGTACAGTGAAGCAGACTGCTGGATGATGCCATTTCATGTGCTGGGATTCCAAAATGACAAAACTCTATTCCACAGAAAAAATATAATAACAGCATGCAGTTTTGGAATAACACAATAGTGAGTAAATAAAACAGAATTTTCATTTTTGGGTGATTTTAACTCTTAGGTAATTCTGAGAGAAGGTGAAAAACTGTAAACTAATTTATGACTGTGGCTCGTGCTGCTCGTGCTATATATATATATATATATATACAGTGGGTTCGGAATGGCTGCAATATAACAAAGAGTGAAAAATTTAAGGGGGTCTGAATACTTTCCGTACCCACTGTATATATATATATATATTTAAACATTCACTAATTGAAATAAAGCTGAAATAAGATAGCAATATTACATGAAAAACTTGAAAACTAATTTGATGTAATTTTAAGAACTAAAATCACAAACTATAACTGAAATGCAAATAAATGAATGCTATATAATATAGAAATATAAAATGAATGAAGATAACAAAAGTCTTCATCAAAATTACTTAAATGAAAACTGAAAATATAAAAATAAAAACTAATTAGAAATATGAATAAATACTAATAATATAAATACTATTAATATTAATTATAAAAAATAATATAGTTTTGGTTAAAACTGAAATCTTAAAATCTAAAATAAAAATTATACTAAAATAACAGTTTTTGTTGCAAAAGATAAAATAATAATACAAACATTGCCCATTTATGATAATACAATGTTTGGTGAAGCCTTTGCTGTGTATCAGTGAAAAAACATTCTCTTTGAGACAATGCTTTAGGTTTAAGCATCAAAAGACGGCTTTCCTCTTAAATCATTTCAATCAATCCAGTTTAATAAGCAGACTTTCCTGTTTCCATAAACCTAAATGCCATAAAGTGCCCTTGAAAAGAAATCTGAAGCTATAAAATGTTTACAGGTATGTAGCTATTCTTGAATTTGCAACTAGATTTATAATACAGTGTGTCCCTTATGGTAGTGTGCTTTATTATGCCATAAGAAAAAACAACAGAAATAAGGGCAAGATACAGTTAGGTTGATATACATGCTATTATTAGCAGGTCAACACACAGAAGCTTTCTGGTGCTGTCCTTGTTTATCATTTCAAATACATTGGGATATATTACAAGGTACAGTATTGTTTGCGTTTCAAAAACCAATATGAATAAGCTGGATGACAAAAACCTTGCAAGTGAAGTTTGGAGGATGGGATTCTCCACAAATAGGGTACAAACTAGTGTCCTGTTGCTTTTTTGTAAAATAAATAAATATAAAAATGTCATGTTCTTCAGACAAAGAGCTATTAATATGTTTAATAAACTATTAGCTAACATAAAATTCACAGCATGCCAATAGCTAGTTTGAAAGGTCAACCATTCAACCCTGTTATTAAGGTTACATTAAGGGAAAAAAAAATATATTTTTTTTGTTACTTTATGGGACATATAAGTTTATCAATAACTACAAACCAACATTTGAGCCCAAACTCCCCCCCCCCCCCC